CACCAGAGATTAGAGGCTTTGTTCCTGCTGAAACCTTGGGCATTAGTAGAGCGTGTAGCAGCAGCAGAAAGTTTTTTTTTTTTCCCCCCAGACATAGTAAGTGCCAGCAAATCTGAAAAGGTGGTAATATAAATTAACATTCTTCATCAGTCTGCATGGAAGAAAATCTACATCCCAGGGATCAGTGTTGGGCCCAGTTCTGTTTAATATCTTTACTGATGATTTAAATGAAGGGATGGAGTCCACAGTTGACACCAAGCTGGGGGGAGTGTCGATCGTCTGGAAGGCAGGAGGGCTCTGCAGAGGGACCTGGACAGACTGGAGAGCTGGGCTGATTCCAAGGGGATAAGGCTAAACAAGGCCAAGTGCTGGGTCCTGCACTTTGGCCACAACAACCCCCTGCAGCGCTGCAGGCTGGGCACAGAGTGGCTGGAGAGCAGCCAGGCAGAAAGGGACCTGGGAGTTTGGATTGACAGGAAGTTGAACATGAGCCAGCAGTGTGACCAGGTGGCCAAGAAGGCCAGTGGTATCCTGGCCTGGATCAGGAACGGTGCAACCAGCAGGAGCAGGGAAGTGACCCTTGCCCTGTACTCAGTGCTGGTGAGGACACACCTGGAGTGCTGTGTCCAGTTCTGGGTCCCTCAGTTCAGGAAGGATATTGAGGTGCTGGAGCGGGTCCAGAGAAGAGCAATGAGGCTGGTGAAGGGACTTGAACACAAGCCCTGTGTGGAGAGGCTGAGGGAGCTGGGGTTGTTTAGCCTAGAGAAGAGGAGGCTCAGGGGAGACCTCATCACTCTCTACAACTACCTGAAAGGAGGTTATAGCCAGGTGGGGGTTGGGCTCTTCTCCCAGGCAACCAAAAGCAGGACAAGAGGCCATGGTCTTAAGCTCTGCCAGGGGAGGTTTAAGTTGGATATGAGGAAGAAATTCTTTACAGAGTAGGTAATCACGAATGGGCTGCCCAGGGAAGTGGTGGATTCTCTGTCCCTGGAGGATTTTAAGATGAGACTGGATGTTGCCCTTCGTGCCATAGTCTAGTAACCATGGTGGTAGTGGATCAAGGGTTGGACTGGATAATCTCAGAGGACCTTTCCAACCTGACTGATTCTATGATTCTATGATTCTAGTTCGAGCTCTCACATAGTTGCTTTGTTAAGACAGTGAAGCCAGAGTGATTCTTTTTGAACATTTCAATAAAGTTTTCCTGGAGTTTCTTGTAAGAATTCAGTTTAAAATTGAAGACAGCCAAATGTAATCTTGGTTATCTCAGTAAAAAACCATTAATAATATTCTTTAATGACTCTTAGAACTTTCCTCAAAATTTTGAGTTTAAGTAATTGATGTTAATATTTGGTATCACCTCACATTCCTAGAGATTGGAGAAATGGCTAAGGACAAGGCATACTGCTTTTCTGTAGCAATTATCCAAAGGGATAATTAAAACGCAGGTAAAGTTAAAATACAGATAAAAATTTTCCTATTTAGAAAAGGTAAACCAGGCCATCAGTGTCACATGACACTATCCCTAGAGATCCATTGCCTGATGGAAAATTCAGCTCTGAACAGAGGGCCAATAAAAGTCTAATTTTAGTGCAGAAGTTCTTTTTTTTTTTTCTCCCAACAAGAGTGAATCAAGGCTAAAGGGGCATAAAGGTCATCTCTGTATTCTCCTTTATGAGCTGTCATAGCTGCAGATCTGATTACTGCTGTAGAGGATCACCTTTGACAAAGGATCACCTTTGGTAATTGCAGCAAAGGATCAGCTTTGCTGAGGGGAAAATTACATCCTAATGTAGTAGCTTAAGTCCGTGTCCCAGTGATGCAAAAATTTACATGACTGTCGGAAAAGGTTAATGACCCTTATTAAAACAAATAGACTATGCTGGGTACTTGGAATCCCCAATAACTTTTGTTACTTTTTTGTGGTTTCTGTTACAGCAGGATACACTTTTTGATCTCTGCAAAGTCCTATTCTGAGCTCTATAAATCCTTAGTATCATGATGATTAACTGCAGTGAAGCCATGATGGAGCAATCTCAATTATTGGGAAGCACCTGGGTAAGAAAGGTTAATAGGAACAGCCAAGGGAACATATATGTGACACTGAGCAGTTATAAAATATTGTTTCAGTGGTATCCACCACAGCAAATCTCTGCCTGGGTTCACTGTTGATGTCTACCTTTGCCTACCCATGCCTGGAAAGGCAGTAAATTCTTGTGTGGCTAGTAATTACTGATTGCATTTCATGTACAGATTCATCTTCTCCCCTCCTGCAAAGAAACCTATCAATAATGTGTTCTTATAATGTATTCTGATGCTTACAAGAGATTTTGTGCCATAGTACAGATTTCCTTTAAAGCCTCTATCTGTAGCAAAGTAATTCTAAATCATCTGATTGATACTTAAACGATAGTGCAAAGATTTGGAACAGACAGTGTCTTAAAGAAGTTCAGTAGAAGTCTGCTCCATTAAATGATTTACAAGGAGAATAAAAGGTCAAGGAACTTGTTCTTATTGCATCCCTGTAGTCTGAAGGTCTTTTACACTCTGAAATCTCAGGCAACTTAGAACAAAATCAAACCGAACTGTACAGCAGCTAATTGCACCTCAAGGCATTTTTTTAAAGGTTACAGATGGAACTGGAAGAAACTGGAAGATCTGATGAGATTCGCACCCCTCCCCGTGCACCATGGGGATTGCAGGTGCTGAAGCTGAACTTTGTAAGTGGAACTGCAAAGTGTTGTCCTTTTTATTTGTTATACAACCATAACAGCAGGAAGAAATTTCCAGGGTAGGAAAGGGGTCCAAATAAACTTTTTCACGGTACATTTCAAATTCTGGGCGAAGGTACCTCAGAACATATTTGACCATTTCTAAAACAAAATAATGAAACTTATCTGAGGGAGTACAAATTAGTTGAAGCATATACTGTGTTCTGACATGTTTTGTAACCTCATGTGAGGCGATCAGCCTAGACACCACTAATAACTTTCTGGTGTGAGATCCTGAGTAGTGCCATAAGGTAGATGGCTTCTGTGAGGGAAAGGGTCATTTAAAATTGCAGTTTATAGTTTGTAGTGTGCAGGGTGCTATTTATATGTGTGCACGTCTGGGTGTCCATGTCTGCCCTAC